TGCTGTACCGAGTCATACCGGTCCGATAGGTTGTCGGTACGTGGACCGATGGTTACCAGTCCGAGAGTACTGTAGCAGTATACTGTAGCACTGTAGCAATGCTACAGTACTTGGTACACTTAGGTGTACCGCTCGGTATACCGTACCGTACCGGTACCGAGCCCAGGTCGAAATACTGGTACGGTACGGTATTGCGAACCTTAATATATACATATATATATACATATATGTATTTAAATATATATATATATCTAAATACATATATGTATATATATGTATATATACATATATACATATATGTATATATACATATATATGTATGTATATGTATATATACATGTATATATACATGGGAGGACAAAAGATGGAAAATCCCTCTTGAAAGTTGAAATGAGTCATTTCTCTTAGGTGTTAAACCAAATGAGAGAAATGAGGCTCTGATACTAACTGTTAGAAATGAGTCGGCATATGGAAGAGTTTAATGATACTAACTGTTAGAAATGAGTCGGCATACTAACTCTTGAAAGTTGAAAAGAATCATTTCTCTTGGGTGTTAAACCAAATGAGAGAAATGAGGCTATGCTACTAACTGTTAAAAATGAGGCACTGAGAGAGAGGGTGAATTAGTGCAGCGGATAAAGCATATGGAAGAGTTTAATGAGAAAGTAAATAAGTAAGACAGTTTGCAGTTAAAGTAAATTGCTCAAAAGAAATGCAAACCAAAATTTTATAGTGGTTCAATCGTCGTGACCTACAATCACTCCATCGATTCTTCTTCCGTCGAGGCCACTAGCATCCACTAATGGTCTTCCTTCAATAGACGAAGATCAACCACCTCTTTAAAACTCTATTCTCCTTTTGCAAGCTCAGGAGAGAACCTTTACACCCCCACTTACTCTTCTCTCAAACTATACTAACACTTAGAGCTTTGAGAGAAGTTCTCACAATATTACAACAGTGTTTTTCTTCTGTTTTGCTCTCAATTCTTGTATTTTTTAACCAGGGATGCGAGGGATATTTATAGACCTCAAGTGGATTTAAACTTAGAGCCTAAAAGAGTCTCATCTCGAGTTTCTCGGGTCCTGGCGGTGCCACCGCCTATGCTGGGTGGTACCACCACCTGCAGCACTAACACTAGGTAGGACTACCATCCAGTCTGACAGTACCACCGCTTGGAAGACTATGTCTGGGTGATACCACCGCCCAGACTAGCGATACCACTGCCTGACATAGTCTCGGAGACTATGCCATGACGATGCCACCTGTTGGGTCACTGCTTGGGCCTTTCACTTGGGCTCAATTGACCCCTAATTGAGTTTGCCTAATTCCAACTCAATTATGTACTAACTATGAATTTTAAGACATTTACTAAGCTAAAGAAGTCCGTAAATCTAGGTTTCTTCCGACGAGCTTCCAACGATCTTCCGGCAAACTTTCGACGATCTCTTGCCAATATTCCAACGGACTCCTGTCAAGCTCTTGGACTTCACGACGATCTTCTTTGTGAGTTCCAACAAGTTTTTTTTAGCAAGCTCCTAGACTTCTCGGTCAATTCCGATAGTACTTCTGACGAACGTTCGGACTTTTGACGAACTCTCGAACTCCCAACGAAATCTTGTTCTTGACTCAAGGACTTCATTTTGATTGATGTCTTACTATCGTAATTAATTCTGCACACTTAAAATCTACTTCGATCTAGACGATTATTACAAAGCTTGAATCAAAGTTGTCCGACATGTCATTAGTTCATCGATTCTTCGACGCATCATCCTCTCTTGCGGCCTATTACCCAATCGGCCAGATGATCTCCGCAACTCCGATTTCCTTAGTATAATTTCCGCTCTTATTGACCCGATGATTGATCCATAGCTTGAAGCCTTCTATCGATACGTCGACCGATCCTTCAGCTCGACGTCTAATCTTCTGACATATTTTTCTCTAGCCCAACATGATTCTTCCTACTTCAATTGTCTCTCTCTGATCGAAGCTTCCTACGTCACTTAAAATACAGATAAAATCATAAACACTTTTCATCATCAAAAATCTGATATTCAACAAATTTTTCGTTAAATTATAATTAAAATATATCATTTAGAAAATTCCTCAATTCCTAGGGTAATTTTTCTTGTTTTTTTTATTTCATAGTTCTCGAAACTAAATCTCGATTAGCATTTAGAACTATTTATTATTCACAATTTTTTGATAGTATTTAATTCATAATATTGATGATTTATTACTTTCCTGTTGAACAGCAGAAGTTTATTACAATAAACAATCCGATAATTCCCATCTTTAACAAATCTTAGCTTTGACATCTTGTCAAAACCACATCCCTCAAGGAAGCTACTCCACATGTGAAGCCTTTGATCCATCAGTATAAGCATCTGCAAAGGCACATGCCAACATATGGTTAGAACAGCCGACCAATCTTTCAAGTTACTTCTATCTAATCTTGCATCTGCATTTGCACATGATGTTGTGATCTAAATTTATCAACTTGAACTAGATTGATCGTTGGCAACTCGGATGAATAATTAAATCTCCCCAAACACAGTATATTGTATGTGTTCTCTCTCTCTC